GGATCATGCTTCAGTCAATCATCAATTCTATGCGAAGCTTTGAGGAGCAATCAGACGTTAGTAGGTGCGTATAAAGACCCGGATGCGACGCGAGTTCGGGAGGAGCGTTTGCTTTTCATTTGTTTGATCTCTCACGTTTACTTTGGTGTTTGCTCCTGTTTTTGTTTCTGAATTTGAGTTATTGTGTGTTTGAGTTTACTCTTGTGAAACTTCGTTAGTCAGTGTAGCTAGTGGTGTTCTACGCTGAAGAAGTTTTTTTTGTTTGTTTGTTTTTTTTTTAGCTTGGTTTTTATTGGTGCTAGTTAGTGTTTGTTTTATTATTTTCTTTTATTTAGCACCGCTCTTGTCCCTCACTTTCATTTATTACCTTTGTATATAATTTGTAAATAGATATTTGTTGGGTATTTTTGATGGTATTTGGGGTTTGTTTATATTATTATTATTATCGGGAGCTTTGTAATATTTACTAATTTCTCTACTAAATGCAAAATTCATATTCAGTTTTGTCTCTGCCTGCTTCTTAATTGCACACACCGCACCTCCATAGCAGAGAAAAGTGTTTTAGCTTAAATATCCTTTTATTCATTAAACGTTTTGTTACCTCCCAAAAACCCTAGATGCCAAATAATTAGGGAGATGTAACAAATACAATAGAATAGAATAGAATAGAATAGAATAGGTAAGATTCACTTACAGAACGTAAGCTTCTGGAGGGTGCATAAGTCTGAACTTGCGAGTTTTGGTATATTGGTGCAGAGCCAGTGGTTGTCTTGTAGGCAAACATCAGTACCTTGAATTTGATGTGACCACCTATTGGCAGCCACAACAAACTGATGAAGAGAGGTGTGACGTGGGCTTTCTTTAGCTCATTGAAGATCACTCTCGCTGCTGAATTCTGGATCACAAATGTCCATTCATTTTAGATAAGCAGACCAGTGCCTCCACCCCTCCCAATTGGGCAAGGGTGTGGGAAAAAGTGAAATTAGTGAAGAGGACTGCAGGATTGGCAGTGTCCTCAGGTTTAATCCAGGTCTCATTTAGGGTCATGAGGTTGAGACTCGAATGAGTAGCAATAGATGAAATAAAGTCTGCTTTGTTTACAGCAGACTGACAGTTCCAGACACTAATTGGAATAGAGAATAAAGTAGTAGAGGACATAAGGACAGTACACAGATTGTTAGGATTGCACTGCCTCCAACGAACTGAGCGTGATTTACGAGTGTTAGTAGTAATAGTAGAGATTTGAAAGCACTTAGTGAGTACAATTGACTAAAACAAGCAGATGAGAACCTTACTACTTAGCAAGCGGAAACTGAAAAACCACGTGTGCTGAAGAACAAACGACTTCAGCACACATTTACCATGGTAACCACAGTAAGCAAAACAATGTTTCCTAGCAATGACAACCACGCTAAACATGCTAACTGCTTCTTCTAACAAGTACTTGCAAACACGGTTAATAAGTACTTTACCTGGCTTTGGCCACTCATTACTACGTAGCAAACCAAAACGGAAAAACCACGTTATACGCACAAGAACAAACGTGACTTCAGCACGCGGTTACCATGGTAGACACAGTAAACAAAACAATGTTCCCCTTCAATAGAACTCGCACTGCATCCTCTAGTGGACACTATGGGGAATGCCATCACATAACCACTGTCTGAAGCACATGTGAAAATACTCCAATCCATTGGACCGCACAGCCCGTGGCGTCATTAGCGGTATGCCCCGGAAGTATAAGAGGGCACCTGTTATGCACGTCATCAACTTCTTTGTCTTCAGGAGCCGTCTGTTTGTGTACGTGTAGGAAACACTCTGCAAATCATTTCAGGTAGTTTGAGGACCTGAGATCATGCATGATTGATGCGGTTTGTGCTTGAGTGAGGAGCGTGCACGTTTAGTTTTTGAGGAAACTGAATGCAGTTATTGAGAGGCTTTGCCTTTGATATCTGTGGATTCACGCAACTCATACGTTGTGTATGTGGGTGAGAAGCATGCGCATTAAGCTCTTGAGGGAGTTGAATACGCTCGATGGACTTATTTATTTGTGAATAAGCATGCATGGTGTGCGTTCAACATGTGAGGTGGCATTTGCTCATCATATGCATTTGCTGGACTATTGAGAGGGAAGGTAGCAAGCCTGAGGAACATGTGCTTCAGACACTGGTTATGTGATGGCATTCCCCATAGTGTCCACCATAGGACGCAGTGCGAGTTCCCTTGAAGGGGAACGTCTCGGGTTACACATGTTACCATGGTTCTCTGAGAGGGAACGAGACACTGTGTCCCCTTGCCATGACTAGTTCCTGCCTGTTTCACGTCTCCTTCAGACAAAGAAGTCGATGATGTGAATTACAGCTGCCTTCTTATACTTCCAGGCATGCCGCTAATGACATCACAGGCTGAGTGGTCTAATGGATTGGAGTGTTTTCACAAGTGCTTCAGACACCGGTCATGCTGATGGCATTCCCCATAGTGTCCAATAGAGGACGCAGTGTCTCATTCCCTCTTGGGGAACCATAGTTACATGCGTAGCTTGAGATGTTTCCTAGCAACGACAATGCTTTTTTTGTCATCAGAAGTGTTCGTGGTGCTCCGCGTACAACAGCGCATGCGTGAGGCGAATGTTGAGACAGAACAAGTCAAGTAGGTGAAATTGTGCATGTATAGAGCTCGTCCGTCCGCGCTCATCCACGGTTGAGTTTACTTTGAAAGCTGTGCAGACATGGGGGAATCACGATGCCGACTCAACATCGTATGGACAATGACATCGTCTATCGGCCCAACCCTAGCTGCCAGTTACACACAAACACAAAACACTGAATAGGCATATTTTTTCTTGTTTGGAATGCAATAAAAATTCAATACATGAAACTCACTTATTGACAGATAGCTGTTTTCAAACGCTTAAGTGTGCTTTGTGTGTGTTTGTTTTTATGCATGCTCGCGGCTGTGTGTAACTGTGTAAGTAGATAAATGCACTTGCATCTTTAAAATGCGTTTATGATGTGAAATGCATGTAAACAGTCAGTTATTTCTTAAAGACAGGAAAAAAAACATCTGAATCTGAACGGATTGTGAGCTGCCTAAAGATTCCCACACCTACAGGTTTTCACTGTATATACTGTAAACAGGGAACTAACAGGTAGCATGTTTACATTGTTTACCGTTAAAATTACTATCATTTTTTACTGTGTGGATCTAACTTTAACGTTTCACTTCAAAATAGAAACAGTATTTTTTTTACCATACAAATCTAAATAAATAACAGCACACCACCAACCTGACATATTTTTAATGAATGTCTAAGCTACAAACACTTCTTCTTCCTTAAACAGTATTAAAATATCTTAAATTCATTAAATTTTAAAGAAGTAAAAGTCTTAAATATCTTAAATAGCATTAAAAAATGTATTTAACCATTTGAAGAGGTCTTAAATTTGAGGATGGAAAGACAGAAGACAATTAAGCTAGATTTATTCTGCCGAGTTAAGGGAAACTCTGAGTGAAGTATGTGTGAGTATAATGGAGTGAATCAACAGTAATTTCCCCTCCTCGCTCAAAGCAGTCTGTGATCAGTCCACTCCAACTCCACTCCCTGTTTTTCTGATAAGCAGCGTTAAGTTCCAAGGCCTCGTCCAATGTGTGCCACAGCCTGTCTTAGTGATGAAAAACAATCTGTGATACATGATGCATTTTGAGATTGTGTGGGTTTATTCTGGTATTAAATGGTATTCGTTTTATTTCCTCAGGTTTTATAATCAGTGAATTTGATTGTGAAAATCCTGCTTAACTCATTCCTGTGCTTTCTGATGTAGATGTCATTTGGTGTCAGCTTTCACTTCTTGTGATGTACAGACTACTTCTTGGGAACTGAAGTACTCACAGAACTTTAATCTGAAACAACTTCAGATAGAAATCTGGAGCTTACTAAATAAATGATGTACACCGGCATGCACATGACAAGCATACACGTTTTAATGCTGAAAACTCAACCCGTCATTCACTGAGAAACAGCCGGTATGATTTCTTGCCATCATGGCAAAATATTCTACTGAAGCCTGGAAGGCATTTGTAATGAGTGGTTTTATCTGACTTGTTTTCTCTCTTTGTGCAATAGCTTCTTGAGATTTCTGATTGACTGGGCAACATAGATTCCCGTCTGTTGCTTCCCAAATATCTTTCCAGCAAATTGGACCTTGTGAAGCATGACAAAAAGCTCATAGTTCTTTGATGTAATGCAGAACATAAAACAAAAAAAGAGACATGTCCTGTAATTGTTTGCTGTCACATACTCAGTTACAAGATTCAGTTACAAATCCTACTGAATGATTAATGTGGCGTTCTAAAGATTTCAACATTCATTTTTAACTCCTGAAGAACTTTGAATTTTGCCACTATTTTTATTCATGACATTAGATGACTTATTAAATGTAAGCATATAAGATTTATTTTGATGTTTGTTCCCATAGAGAACCTGTAGAGGGTTACCTCATCAATAATGGAAGCCTTAAAAGATGAGCGATTCTCATCACTGTAGAAGACGCTGTTGATTTGAGACGATTTCTATTCCCAACTCAGCAGAGGTTCAATGAGGACAGTGTCCCCTGGCCTGTGTTAGCAATACGGTCAGAGAGATAACTCTTGGAAAAAGCTTGTTTTATCCCTCCAGCGACAGCTGTGAAAATGCAATAATTTGAGTTTGAACTTTTGAAGGAGCCTTAAGGATCTCGCACCAACAAGGCTGCATCTCTCCTTAAAATGCGATGAATTATTGAAGTGTACAACTGAGAAAAGCATCTCGACCAATCAAGGCCAGCCGAACAGGAAAATCTGTTAAAAGTGAAGTCTGAAAAAAGTCAGAATCTTTTCCTGTTCTTGAGTCATTTGCCGAGATTGGAGAAGAGCTTCACATGCCAGCACACTTGGGGGTCAAGTGAAGTTTAAAAAGGGCTGTCAGAAAGTCTTGACTAATTCTTTTTTTTTTTCTCCTCTAGGAATACACGATTGATGTGTTCTTCCGGCAAAGTTGGCGGGATGAGAGGCTGAAGTTTGATGGGCCTATGCAGGTTCTTCCACTTAACAACTTGCTCGCCAGCAAGATTTGGACTCCAGATACTTTCTTCCACAATGGGAAGAAGTCAGTAGCCCACAATATGACTACACCCAATAAACTTCTGCGGCTGGTAGACAACGGAACTCTTCTCTACACAATGAGGTAAGACTTCAAAACTTGGTAGTCTCTGTGAAGGACTTGATGCATGTTGAACAACTTCATTTAGTGTTTTGCATAGTTTCTGCTTCCAGTCTACAATGCAAGCAATTGATCTAGTTTCGTAACACCACTCAAATGCAAACTACACCACCAAATGGTGAACTTGTGCATCATACAAGTATTCTCCTATCTGGCTTCTTGAATCTATGCTTTGGGGCGATTTTGAATTAAGCTGGACAGCAGGTTGTCAAATTTAAAACAAATTCTGCCTGATTTCTCCAGCCCTTTCAGATGAGCTGGCAGAGGTAGACTAATGCCTTCTTATCGATGGCGGACTCCGGATGAACGGGACGTTGGGGAGCTGGCCCAGCCTGTGACCCAAGCACCCCAAGTGCTTGATGAATGAGTCAGGAAATTGAATTGTGACTAGCTTGGCCAAGAGCTGTCCAGAGCAATGTGTTCAGCTGCCAGAGACAGAGTAGGCCAATTCCACCAGCCATTTTGACACAGCACCTGGGCTGCTCATGCAGTCACTATGAGAGATTGGTCATCTGTATCTCTGAGCTAGGATGGGTTTTATCTTTTCAAATCTTTAACCTCATCCCGAATGTAATAAATGGCCATCAACCTAAAGGAAAAGGGTGCTGCATCATCATATTGCCACTAATTTATCTGAACACAATAACCTTGAAGTTTCCCATAACATAAAAAGAAAAAGCTTTCTCTTGAAAGTATGAGGAATGAAGATTCTTGAAGCGCTGCAGAAATGGTTGTGAGAAACTGCTATATGCTTGAAAAGATTTCCAGATCTATGCTAGATGTTGATCTGCACGCATGCAATTGATTAAAATAGAGAAGTTCTTGCTGACTCTGCTGTTTTCAGAGTTTAACAGTAACACGCCTCATGCATTAAACATGCATGAATTTCACATCTACAATGTGTACATAGCTTAAAAATATTCATGAAATCCTTTTATGCTGAAGTAAGAGAGTGCACTTGCCAGGGAGCCAATAACGTAGCACAGTAACACTTGCTAATTCATCATACGCAATAGTCTGGATACATTACATTTTAACCATGCAAGATACAGTACTGTGTCAAAAACAGCACTTTCCAGTGATTTAAAGTTTATTTTCTCGTCACAAGTTAATATACTGTTTTCTGTTAGCACTTTTTTGCTCACATAAGGTGTTAAATCTCAGCAAAACTGGATTTAGTTACTTATTCACCCTATCTCCGGTCTGTCATCTCAAGCATTTGAATTAAACGATACGTAAGCTTTAATCAGAACTGCAAACCTTAGCGTTTTCCAATTCATAATAGTGCTTGTTTACAGGGATTATGGCCATAATGAAGGTGTCACGTGAAATAGACCCTATGTGGTGGCACACTAGATAGGGAAGGGCGATGCTGCTCCGTTCTCTTCTAGGCCCTGTCTCATATGAATTAATTTAATATGGCTTCAGTGCTCCCCAGGCTAAGAATAACATTTGAATTTGGATGCTTTAATGAAGGCTTGTCACTCTCATTGTGTTTGCCCGCGGGGATAGCATGGTGCAGAAGAGTTGTTAGCTAGAGCTCCCAGGGACAAGAACGGTGATGTTTCTGGACCATTTTGGGCAAAGACATAATTGCATTGTTGAAGTGCATGGTTTATTTGGCGATGCCTCTCATGCTTTTTTAGAATTTCACAGAGGCTAATTTCCCCAAAAAAAACAAACAAAAAAAAGTCTTAAGGGATTGTAATTGTCTCTGATTATCTTTTGGAAGTGAACATATCATGTACATGTCCCAGCCAATTATTGGGCATTTTATAAAGTTGCTTTTTTTCTGCACTCAGTAAGTTGTTATCTCTCAAACCTTTTTTTTTTTTTTTGAAAAAGATTGAGAGACATTGCCATATAAACCATTCACATTTACATTCATGCATTTTTATCCAAAGCAACTTGCACTGCATTCAAGGTTCATACATTCTGTCAATGCATGTGTTCCTTGGGAATCAAACCTATGACCTTGCCATTGCAACCTCAATTTGCAACTGGTTGAGCTTAGCTGCAGGAATGCCCCATTTTAGGCCTTTTGAGTCAAAAGTAAGACTCAGGTACAGGACTTCCAGCCTTTCCAATTTATCACCATGTTGTAACAACAAATATGGCATCCTTGTCCCTTAAGTGTTGCCACAACATCTCACTGTGTACCATGTGTAGCACTTGCTAATGTTAAATTTGAAAAATGAAAAATGAAGATTTTTGATGCAGCTTTTAAAATGTCCTTGGCCTGTTTAGTGTAGCACATTGTAAAGCCCCATTTGTGTTTTCGTGTTGAGTTATGAGAAAAGAAAGAGAAGCTAAATTATCAATCATGGTTTATTGACTTCTTACAGAAGCAAGTCTGTTTTGGGCTCTTTGTTGTGGTAGTCTTTTCAAGTGAAGTCAGTGTCAACCCTTTCCCCTTTCTTTTTTACACAGTCTACAATGTGTTTTTAAATGCATTAAAGAATAGTCGGTCCAGGGTCATGCTGTAGAAAATGTGGAAACGAGAATCTCATTGGCTTAAGGATTCAGATTCAAGGGGTTTTGCTAACATTATATATATAAAAAGTGTGTGTATATATATATATATATATATATATTATAATCATTGAATAAAAACAAAATAACAAAAAATTGAAAAGCATTTAAAAAAAAAGATTCTTACATTTTCCAAATAAACTTTAAGTGGTTCTTTCTAATGTAGAGGTTTTGTTTTATGTGACTACATGCACATATTGACACAATAAAAGTATTTATTTTCACTATTACCCACCCTTTTAAAATCCATTTTGTAGTTGTTTATCGACCCCCAGGACCACAAGGTAACTTATTGGATGAATTAGATGTGCTGCTCTCAACCTTTCCTGAGGATGGTACTCCCCTAGTTATGCTTGGAGACTTCAACATCCACCTAGATAAACCTCAGGCTGCAGACTTCCACACTCTGCTTGCCTCTTTTGATCTCAAGAGAGTGTTACTTTTTGTGTGCAAAAGAAAAGAAAAAAAACAACTTAATTCAACAATTCGTCTCCTCCGTGTATGCTGTATGCTGTTCTCTGTCAGCTGCGTCACGCCAGATCTGTTTCCTACGTGTTGTTGTGATTTGATCTGAACGGAAACAGCATGATGCAGCTGACACAGAACAGCATACACTGTTTACAGGGTGACGCAGAGGAGACGAATTGTTGAATAAAGTATTTTTTTTTTCTTTTGCATACAAAAAGTATTCTCGTAGCTTCGTATAATTGCGGTTGAACCACCGAAATTCAGGTACTGATACCGGTACCATACCAGTTAAAATGTGAACGGTACCCAACCCTATTGGTAGGGTGATCTGGGTTGTTAGTAGGGTGATCTGATGGTTTGCAGGGTGCTCTGGGTGGTTGGTAGGGTGATCTGGTGATTTTGTAGGGTGATATGGTGGTTTTTGTAGGTTGTTCTGGGTAAGTCAGTCACTTCTGTGTATCAATCACTCCTATATTCCTTCTCTGCTAATGTCTCCACTGCTAAAAGGACATACTATCATAACAAAATTAACAATTCGTCTAACTCTCGCATACTCTATAAAACATTTTCCTCGCTCATTTGTCCTCCTCTTCCCACTCCTTCATCAACTCTAACAGCTGACGACTTTGCCACATTCTTCATTAATAAAATTACAAACCTCAGTGGTCTCCCGGTTTTGGAAAGTTCTGTAGACAGATCGGGGCCTCGACGAGTCTGTGTTCAGGTTTTCACCCTCAGACCAATGGGCAGTCCGAGCGAGCCAACCAGGATCTCGAGAGAGCTCTCCGCTGTCTGGCATCACATAGTCCGAGCTCCTGGAGTCAACAGCTACCGTGGGTCGAATATTCCCACAATTCCCTTCCTGTATCGTCCACAGGTATGTCTCCCTTTCAATGTTCCATGGGTTATCAACCACCTCTTTTCTCTGCTCAGGAACCCGAAGCTGCGGTCTCGTCTGCCTTGGCCTTCGTCCGTCGGTGTCGGAGGAGAGGAGTTGGATACCGGGCCGGCACATTCTGGATCAGACTCTGGTCGAGGACTTCCGTCGGCGACGAGGTGAGCCCCTCCTGGGTACGCCAGGTGGCGTTCCTGGGGGGGGAGGTACTGTCATGACTTCGGTCTGATCAGCAGGTTGTTGTTTTTTGTCTGTTTTGACAGTTCGCCATGTGCTCATTCTCTTCGTGGTTTCCCTCCCCATCGTTATCTTATTAACTACTTTAGCTGCCGTCACACCTGTGGCTTGTTTATTCCTTAATTCTCCCTCCTTTTAAGTTCCCCTCGTGTGTAGTCTTGTGTCTGACCGTTGTGGTGTGAACACGCTACTCTTCGTTCGTGACCTACTACCAGTCTTGAGTTCTTGTCCTGCCGTGTTTTCATAGGCTCCAAGTACAGTTTAGTGTTTTCAGTTTGTCTTTTCCGCTCGCTCTCTGCCTCTCGTTTCACCAGTTTTCTGTTCCCCAGTTCCTGCCCTGGCATTACCAGAACCGCGCTTCGCGGCCTCTCCTCTCCTGCCCCTCTCGGTGCACTCTACAAGGAACTCTCTGCCCTGACGTTGTGTCAGTACCGACGCTTGGACTCTGTGTGCTTATAGCACTTGCATATCATTGCTCTTTTGTTGATTTTGATTGCTTCTATTGTCCTCATTTGTAAGTCGCTTTGGATAAAAGCGTCTGCTAAATGACTAAATGTAAATGTAAATATTTTAGATTCCACTGTAAATGATTTGTCTGAAACTTATGGCTGCAGTTATTCACATATTTCACATGGCCAAGGTGACAAAGGACCATGAAATCAAAATGATAATAGTGAAATCATCAGGTATGCTGTTCATTTAACCTTGTATTAAAGCATGTCACAATAATTGCTAACACAACAACTTTTCTGGCATACAGTAGAGGTGCCTTGGCCATTATATGTCATGATTAACTAGGTCTAGGGCAAAGCTGTATGAATGATTTCTAAAC